AGATAGTACTAGAATGCGCAACATTGATAATTACAAAGAAGATATAATAACAAATGAGTTTAGTAAAACTGGAATATATAAAGAATCTATTTTAAACAATATAGCTGGATTTCATGTTACAAATAATTTTTTGCGTTGATATTATGCATGATGTTTTCGAGGGAATATGTCACTACGATATTTGTCATGTTATTAAATATTATATTTACACTCTAAAGTTATTTTCATTGGATGCTTTAAATAACAGGGAAAACAATTTTAACTATGGAAAATTTGAAGTGGGAAACACCTCCCCACCCATAACTGAAAATCATTTAGATAAATGTCACTTAAAAATGTCAGCTAGGGAAGTAATGACMTTTATACATTTCTTTCCCTTAATAATTGGTGATTTGATAGTAGAAGGTGATGAAGTTTGGCAATTTGTTTTAACATTAATTAAATTAATTGATATTCTTTTATCTTATACATTTAATCAAAGTACAATAACACTCCTAAAACAATTAATTAAGCAACATCATTCTTTATATATTTCTCTATTTAATGATACATTAAAACCAAAGCACCATTTTTTAGTACATTACCCTACAGTTATTCAATATTCTGGCCCTCCAAGACATTTTTGGTGCATTCGATTTGAAGCCAAACATAAGGAATTAAAAATATATGCTCGTACTACTTCTTCAAGGAAAAATATAACTTTAACTCTTGCTAAAAAATCTCAAATTAAATTTGCTGATTTTCTAATGCAAGAAGAAGTTAAAAAATGTTTGCTAGAACAAAAACATAAAATATGTAGCTTAAGCATTGAATATATAAGTGAAAAACTTTCTATTGTGGCAACACAATTTAATTGTTATAATAAAATTGAATATAATGGAACTATATACAAAACAGGATACTTTTTAACAAAATTCGTAAATTAAATGTGTTTATTTGAAATTGTTGAACTAATAGTAAATGAAACAAATGAAAATATTTATGTTCTAGCTAAACAAATTAAACTATTACATTTCCATTMTCACTTTGAAGCTTTTGAGGTAGATGATAAAAAAACAATAATATTTAATAATTGTATTTACAATATTAATGAATTCAATGGACCACCGATTAGTATTACGGAAATTTCTTCTGGAAAATTAATGGTCCGATTAAAAGTTTTTTTTAAATAATTAAATTTCTTAAATTACAAAAAAACTAAACTGTTAATATATTATTCTTATAATAATAAAAATAAATTAAAGTTATTATTTAATTAAAAATGATTAAAAATGATCTAATATGTATAATTGTATAAATAAATAAACAGAACATTTTTTAATATAAATATATAGCATAAAGTATAAAGGATTATCGCCCGGTTTCATCTGAAAAACCATCATCATTTTGTAGCACAATATCAAAATATATACCTAAGGCGGCAAATACATAAAGCCTGATGTCTTGATTTATATTTATATTTAGTACTACCTGATGATATTTGAAATAAAAACTATAGTCATTAATATAAACCAATCCTATAAAACTTCATACATGTATATATTATATACTCATTTATAATTAAAATGTTTTATTTATGTAAAAGCATAACTTAATAATATGTAAATATCAATTGTAAATCTTTGTTAATTAAGTATTTTACAGATTCTTATAAATATTTAATGCTGGGTACTGGCAGATGTAGTATTTTTTTTTAAATATGGAGCGTAATGAAAGTAGTTTAGTCGAACTTTCATCATTGAATAGCGAATTATTTTGTATAAATCCTTTGAATGCTTGTCAAGAAAATGGTTACAGTGGAAATCCAGAGAATTATAGTGAACATTTAAGTACTGTAAGTATAATTTTGTTTGAATAATTTATTAATTAAATAACTTTTATATTCATATAATATATTTAGTATTATGTTTACAGAATTTACTGTCAATTTCCAGTATACAACATAATAATTTAAATGATGATGAACCCTTAAAACAATTATTAAAAGAGTGGGATTTAGAAATCTTGTACAAAACATGTATAGGTAAATATAAATTATTAATAATTATGTTTAATCTGTAATGTTGTTATTTATATAATTTGGTATATTTAGATCAGTCAGTGAATATCGAAGTTTTAAAAATTATGAGATTTGAGCATGCCAACGAATTGTTAAGTCTTATCCAGTTAGAACAAAAGTAATATTAACTCATGAATTAGAAAAATGGCAACAAAAAAAGCCAAGCCTTGCCGTTGGATTTGGATAGTGCAAAGTATCAGAAGGAACTGGCTAGCATAAAACCAAATGAACCTGTTATACAGAAACCATTTATAAACATTGATTTAGTTTTTAAATTCTTCAACTCAAGGCATTATGATTATAAACTACTTTAAATCAAATAATAAATTAAATGATTCAATCCGTATAATGCTAGTTGATGTAATAATTAATCATGTGATAACTATGAAAATATCAATATCAGTTGGTCTTGCAGAAAGTATTGCTAATCAGATAGAAGCTTTGTTTTCTACAGAAGTTAAAGTAAATAAAAATAAAATTTGTATAGTTAAAAAATATAGAATTCTTTTATAAAAAATAAAATTGTTAAAGGTATTATACTTGTATGTATATATATTCCCTTAAGCTATCGCCTAAATTTTAATATAATATTGATGCAAAATTATATTTTAGGATACATATTTCATGAGAGGAGGTTCTCATAAAAGTCCTAAAGGAAAGTTCTACGAAAAATTTTACAACTCGATGAGGCTCCTTAAAACTAGTGGTTTAGTAGTTGATAATTAGTAGTTGATATTTGGCTAATAAATAAAATCATTCAAATAAACAGTTTTTTTTATGACATCAAAATAGTTAAAAAGTTACTCTCAAATTTTAATGCATTTTTATGTGGATTGCATAGTGAATATATAATTTATAAACTATATACATATATTACAATATATTATACCTATGAAAAAAAATCATACTTTTGTAGCCTTTGATATAAACAATGGTGATGATCCTTGCCATATAATGTAACAATTTTAACTATTGTAAATGTAACTATGTCGACATAACAAATTATGAATGGATACTAACTAAATACCTACCATAAAAACATTATGCAATTATATTTGTATTGTATTAACTATATACTGTTGTTTTCTAGATGGAAAAAATAGCATAATATTTTGCTTGTTTCACGCTGTATTTGTGCCAACAAGTAAAAAAGTTACCCGAGATGAAAATGGGAAAAAAAGCCAAATCGAATACTCAATCAGAGATTCAGTGAATAGTTTTCTAATTTTTAAAAATTCTATTAGTGAAGTTGAAGATTATATATTGTATCGTAAAAATGAAAATCAGCCTATTCAACCTTTTATTATTGTTATAGGAGCTCCTGTTAAGCCCAAAGAAATTTTCATATTTTTCGATTGTATTAAATACAAACTATTTTCTATAACATCTGCTGTTGATACATGTTTTAAAATTTTTCATTTATTCAATTTAGAATATCCTATGCAATCTTCAATTGTCTGGCTTTTTATTCAAAAATTTTTTTATGCTTTAACTACTACATATGACAAATCATTCCATAGTTTAGGACAAATTTTAAGCGATTTAAATAATGTTTAAAAAATAATGTATGAATTAAAATAATTTATGTTTGTATATTTCATACTTATTATACAATTGTTTATACAAAATAAATTAATAATTAAGTAATAACAAATTATCAGTCTTATTATTATTATTTTTTTATTAAATACCTACCAACCTACCTATCAACTAACAATTTTAAATGATTAGCAACAACCAAAAAAAATAATATTGTACTAATTTGGTAATTAAACTTAATGGTATGATAGTATGCTATAACAATCTTATAATTGTATTACTTAAACTATATTAATTGTTGGCCTAATAAAATTAGATGTAGGTATAATAAACTTTGTTTTTATACCAATAAAGTATCTTGTCATATTGACAATATTTTGTGTAAAAAAGATAAAATATTATACATTGTGATAACAAGTTGAAGTTGTTAATTTGATATGAATGTCTTGTCGGCTGAATAGCAACAATATTTTTATACCAACAAAGTGTCTTGTCATATTAACAATATTTTGTGTAGATATGATAAAATATAATCCATTTACGCTGTCRCAACAAAAGTTGTTAATTCGATATGAATCTCTCGTTGGCTGTATATACTCCGGCCCACGAGAGATCAGTACCGCTATTCGACCAAAACATGTCCAATTTCGCGCATCTCCCACTCAACTAACTGACAGCGTTTCGGCGACTGTCGGTGACGGTCGGCAACGCTTAACTGTTTACACTATACACTGTGAGGCGTAATGTATACTGTCTACAGCCTGTTGTAGTGAGAAACAGTTGTACATTTACGCGAACGCTTACTTTTTTATATTTTTTGTGCTGTGGTAATTTTTAAAAAAATGAATGCCGAAGAATCCATTAATGTGAATGAACCTGCCAGACAAGCTGTTCAAAATGAGAATCCGCAATTATTACGTTCGCCTGTTAAAAGAAATCCAAATGGACGGGTAAGAATTTTTTTAATAATTTAATATTTTAGATACTAAACGTTCTTAAGACTTTGAAATTCATATCAAGTATTGGTAACTTCGTTAAGTATTTATGGTTTAATTTTCAATTTTTTTTAATTAATCATGGATCTGTGAAATTAAATATTAATAACAAAAAAGTCCGGATTAATTTTTTATTATATACAACGTTTGAAAACACAAAATATTGTATTACATTTTTAATATATAATTGAATTACAATATAACATGATATTATACATTTTTATTCTGATTTTTCAGTTCATTTTCCGATATTGTTAATGAATTTTTTGTTTTTTTATTGTTAATAATAATAATCATTTAAATTAAGTCTGTTTTAAAAAATTTTCAATATATACAAATAAAAAAAATATTTATATTTATATTGTTTATTTTTTTCAGTTTGTTGGAAGCAGGCAGAAGGTTATGATTATTAATCTGTATAAAACCAAACTTGAAGAGCAACCGGATATCAAGTACAAACCTTTGATTGCGTATCTATCGAAAGCATCCGGAATTGGACGTGATACTATTGTTAATACCATACGGGATTACAAAAAGGACAACCTACTGAAGTCACCAAATAAAACAAAAATTCGTGCAAAAATCAACGAAAAAATTGATGACTTCGATAAAAACGCTATAAGGCTAATCATGTATGAAACTATACTTTATTTAATTACTTATTTTTAAAGTATCTAATTATCTGTTTTCTGGTGCTATTAACTGCATTCCTACTAATATTATCACCAACATTATTGAAGTCTGTAATTTTAATGGATGACTCCTGTTCTGTAGTGACTCTAGGCAATCTTTCCCCAAAATTACAAGCTATATTGTGTAGTACTGCTGTAGCAACAATTATGCTTTGAGATGATGACACTTTAACATTGATACAAGTAGCTAATACTGGAAATCGACGTTTCCAGACTCCATAACTCCTCTCTACAGTATTCCTTGTCCGGATTAACGATTCATTGTATTTGTCTATGGCTTCTGCAGTAATACCTGATGTTGGATCTATTATAGTTTGAGGATTTCCAACAAGCGTCATCACATAATTTCTTTGAGCATTACCACTGTCTGCTACTATGAGGTTATTACTCATTTCTCCCATTTCAAATTTTCTTCTTATTTCAGAGTTTTTAAAAATAGTCGAATCATGTGAAGATCCAGGCCACCTAGCAACGATGTCCTGAATTTTTAAATTGGCATCACAAATGGTTTGCACGTTTATTGAAAAAAAACCTTTTCTATTTCTATATGCTTCAGCATTGTTTCCTCCTGGTGACTTTATCTTGATATGTGTACAATCCATGGCACCAATAACCATTGGAAACTTGGCAATATTATAGAAATCTTGCTTTAACTTCTTGATGTCATTTTCAATGTCTGGAAACTTAATAAATTGTGGACGAAGTGTAGCAATGACGTGAGATACAAGTTTGACTATTCGGCTAGCAGTCGATTTGTGAACTCCAATGAAGTCACCACACACAACCAACATTKATCCCGTTGCATAGTATCGTAATGCAAGGAGAACTTTATGTTCTGGAGTAACAGCACGATTCCTACAAATTTCAATCTATAGTAATTAATATTATGGTGCTGCTCTAGTATGTGGTCTACTCTAGTCTTGTAAAAGATACATTTATAAAGTATTCAAGTATAGATACCGATACTTATTTTCAAAAGTATTTAAAAAAAGTATTTGAATACTTGGAAAAAAGTATTTAAGTACAAATACAAAAATACTTTTAAAAAGTATTTACAGATACTTACAAATACTTTTTTTTTTATGTGTTGTACCCTTTTACCTTGGCTTAATGACCTTATAGATAAATTGAATTATTGGTACCTAAACTGAATGAATTGTTTATTTTAGTACTATTTTTTAATATTCTAAATACAATTTTTTTGAAGTATTTTTTAAGCATTCTGAATACTTTTAAAAAGTATTTTTAACAAAATTTAAATACCACAAAGTCCGTTTTAATAATTGCTTTTCACAACAATTTGACATCAATAAAAATAATATTGTTTTTGTTGAAATAATATTATAATCATAATAATTCTCTATCCTTATAGTTGGTTAGGTAATTTTTTATCTTATTGTCAAGGCTATATAAATATATATAAAAAATTATATTAATGAGATTGAATTTATAAAAACAGAAAACATTTTTTATAGAAAAAGTAGGTAGGTAATAACAATGTTCAAAATTTAAAAAATGCTACATATAATTTTATATGGGTTCTGTATTGGAATTTGTTTAAATAGTTCCATATTAATAATCAATACCAATTTTTTATATATATTTATATAGCCTTGACAATAATCGATATTTAGCGAAATTATCACCATTTTTTACCAAATTTTTTCCCAAATTTTTTTTCTATTTTTTGTCATTTAATATTTTAATTGTATCAATATGAATGAAATATGTGAACATGTATAAATTACCTCTAAATAGTCACTAGTCAGACATGTTTAAGTATTTTTCAAATTGTTAAAATCTATGGTAAGTAGTAACATAATATAGGTAGTTTATAAAATTAAAAAAAAAATACTTGTATTTGTATTCAAATACTTACTGAGTATTCATAAAATACATTTTTATAATAGTATTTTAATACTTTTTTATTTGAATATTAGTATTCRTATTTTAATACTTTTCAAAAGTATTTTTTACAAGACTGGGTATTGGGTATATTTAATTTTTTTTCTGCTCTAATATGAGATTTAAAATAATGCATACCAATCAGTACGAGAACAAATTCGGTCACTTATCATATCAACTATGTAACGCACTGTACTTTTTGATACTCGAAATCTATCAAAAAATTCATCATCTCTCCACCATGTAAAATGATCTGTTTGTGGTCTAAATATTCTTTGTCGCATAGGAAAAGCAAGTAATATGGCCAAGTTTTCAAATTCTTCATCTTCGAAATCTGAATCTTCGACATCTTCGAAATACATATTTAGTAACTAGACCTAAATCTAATCTAACCTTATAACGGAAAACAACCCCTATGACTATAATGTACAAAATATTAAACTACTATAGACAAGATTCTTGACTCTGAAAAATACGGTCTACGAGAATGAATTTCCAAAAAAAAGTTAATTATTAAAAACAATAAAAACATAATATTATGAATTATGATAGCTGATAACAATGATAAATGATAACGAATTTAATGCCACACCCCGAAAATTAACTAATCAACGTTTAAACGACCTWAATTGGTTGATTAACTTAACGGATAAATAATCAATGATTAGAAGGTTAAACGGCACTGTACAACGACCCAACATCGTTAATCATAGATTAACTCTTAATCATTGTTTAACCGTAGACGGTGCAACTGGCCCTTAATAGTTATTACTTGTTACGAATGTACTTGTCTTATTAGATATGGGCTGATAGGCAATACTTTTATTCTAATTTCGAAGTATAAGAATCAAGATTTATTATAAAATTTATATCCAAAGAATAAATATTTATTAATAATAATTAAAATTCTCCTGTTTGATTTTTTTTTTTTTTTAATATTAAATACCTAATTCATATTAAATTATAATTAAAGTATAAAAGAAAGATTTATCAATTATTAAAAAGAAAAAATATCTTATAGGTGGGTAATAAGATAAACTACGAATTTTAAAATGCAATATAATATTATATTTATAAATGCATTATTAAAATTTATATTTACTATTTCAAAAAAATGAATTGAAATACAAAAGTTTTGTGTGTCGTTATAAAATTGTTAGTTTCACTTTTCTCTAATTATTATATAATTATATTTAATAAAATAAGTCTTGATTATACAATCTATATTTTATAGATATTATAACAGAACATGACATTCTATCTCCAGCTTCTTTCGTAAAAGAGGAATTGTTAATATAAAAATTATTGTAATATTATACTTATTTTTTATATGTTATAATAAAAATACAATTTTGTATATGAATTATTTTTGTATTGGATTTTAACTACATTTTACTGTGAAAATGAAAGTAGTTATGCAGTTATTGGACATTAAGATAAAATAAATATACTGCAACTATATGTATACAAATATCCCTACAAATATAATAATAAATATATACATCTCTTCTCAAAATCTAAGATAGGTACTCAAAATTATTTAAATATTCCAGGTAAGTTTGTTAAATGAATTTCAATTTTGATGTAACAAATAAAAAAAAACATTAAATTTGAATTAATTAATAATATCAAAGTTTGTAAGAAGTTTTAAATTGTGTTAAAAAAATAGTTAAGACTTGTGCTTTATCTCTTTTAGTTATAATAAATGTAATCTAACACAGTGGCCTCTTGTAAGTGAGGCAGACCCACAGTACTAAAACCCTGGGTTCGCCACTGTTTAACAATATAAATTATAGATGCTGATTATTTTGTCAATTGTAGGAAGGTATAAAATAAATGTTGACAAAGAATGTCAAAACAATCAGAGTAGAATATGTTTGAAACATAAATTCCTGCTTAAATGATATTCTCATGCACAATACTGTAAAACTTATTAAATAATTTTAACATTTATAAACCTAATGAATAATACATTCTAAATTTCAAAATAATAATCATGATTTTAGAGCCTAGGCAATTTATTAAATTCAATAATACATTATTGTTTATTACTCTTAAGATTAATTATTATCATACTGTTTTATCATTTATTTTGTTTCCATTTCTTTACGAACTATGTATTGTAATTTAATCTGTATCACTGTACTCTATATTTTGTAAATAATATGTAATTGGGTTATCTAACCCATTTAATTAAATATATATAATTATATAATACCTACTTAAAACTCAGAATAGGGAAATTATGTCCCCAAAAAAAGGTCATAGTCATATACTTTTAAATAGCAACCTGTGTACTTTTAAAACAGGTATCTAAATGCTTTTAAATTTTAAATAACGATAAATGCAAAAAATTGTACAATGTTTTAATTATGAGTAATGATAACCACAAAAGTTGAATAACGATAAACTCAAAATTTGTATAACGTTTTGATTGTAAATAACGTAAAACAAAATATTTTTTTTCAAATGCAAGCCCTGGTAGGTACAGTGAAAGAAAATTAAGACTAAAAATGTATGTAAGACTTTACAGTTTGATACAAATTCTGATGTAATATATATTTTTAAAGCAGATTCATAGGTATGCCATCACTTATCAAACATTAAATTTTAATAGATATTTGTATTTATTTAGTTAAATAATGTTATAAAAATACTAGGTGTTGAAATTCCTATCGGTATATATAGGTATATATATTAACTTGGAAATCTACACTCTTCTTGCGAAATATTATAATTAAAATCGTGCTTACCTATATTACCAATCCTCGTGTACGACAACAGATACTTGCAGTACCATCGTCCGAGTTGAGTTCGATAGACATCCAAATTCCAAACAACCACGACCTTGCTGCGAAATATGAACAGAGTTCGGGAAATCGTCTGACGTGCAAGTATAATATTGTGAACGGTTATTTGACAGTAAATTATTGCACTAATGCACTATCGAATGGTTAGTGCCAGTGATTCACAACGATTGAGAGCATCGTAGTTCCACTGTTACGAGATACCGCACTATACTCTATTGACTATTCGCTGTAAGTTGACCCACTAGCTCTACGAAAACCGGTCGTAGCTGCGCAGGCCACCACGTCTTCGGAGCGCTAGTGCTGATCGTTGCCACCGCACCTGGCGTATACGTAGTGATTTGATTATCTTCACGACGTATCGTGAACGCGCGCTATTATATT